TTCCCTTTGGAATACCATTCTTATTCCCTCCAAATTCATTCCGTGAACCAAACATGTTGTAAGTTTTCTACCATAAAAATGAAATAAAATTTAATATTAATTTTAAACATAAAAAAATTAAAATTAGAATATTCCGTTCAAGAACGACTATTATACAACTAAACCCTAGGAGGTGCATATGTTGCCAATTGTTATATTGTGGACGAGGGTCCACCGGTCGGTGGATCCTAGTCCAAAATGAAGTCTCGTAGTTTATTTACCAACACTTCACATATTATGAACTTAAAAAATATTAATATTATTTCACATGATATATTTATAGTTAACTAATTATGAGCTTATTGCAAAGGTTAATATTGGTCAAAGGAGGAAAAAAAAAAAGGTGACCCTAATTTAAACAAAACAACATCAATTTAGAACCTGGTTCACGATATAATTTGATATATATATTGCCTTACATTTAGATAATAAAAAATAAAAATTCTCTTAGTGTATAGCATTAAATGAATGGAAATTAGGGCCCCCTAAATTTATTAATGCTAAAGAAGAAATTTTTATTTTTTTCTATATTTAAATTTATGTAACAAGAATAAATAACCCCATTTGGAAATAAAAATAGCTGTTTTATTTTACCATAATAGAGTGTCAACTTACACATCATTAGAATGTAAAATCATATCTTTTTTCATAGATGATAGGGAGGGGCGCTCAAGTCCGATCCCTAGATCTATATATATCTAACTCTTCTTAATTGTTGTCACACCTGCCTAGTCTCTTGCTAGAAGATTTCTCAACTCGTTGGACTGTTGCTCCAAAATTGTGCCACCCCAATCTTTAGTTTGGTCCAAGTTAGCCGGGTAATCAAAACACGGATTCCCTTCTCTCAATGTATGTTAGATGTTCCTATTTGCCATGCTTTGAGCACTTGTTTGCAATCCATGAGGAGCGGGCCATTTCCTATCTGGCCTCCTCCGACCCCGTGAGGGTTTTAACTATGCTTCTGAATCAAATTCCACATCCACATCCTAGACCCGATGTCCTTTGTCAATCTGAGACGACCCTCCCTAAAGTCCCAAAGTTCTGCTGTAAAGTTGGTGAAAGACCCGATCTTTACAGTAAATCCACAAATCCATCACCCCTCATAATCCCGAATAAGGCTAATTCCCTGCACTAGTTAACCCCGAGCTCATGTTTCTAGCCCCATCCGTGTTAAGCTTCAATTTCCCCCGGGAAAGAGGAGACCAGGAAATGAATTAAACCCACCATTGTATTGTTGTACTACCATTCCCATGCCTTGTAAAGAGCCAGTGTTCTGCCTGTCTCTAAACTCTCTTGGCGCCAGCTCCAGCCGATCATCTGGCAGATTAAAAGTCGCACAACCTTGGATTCACACAGGTAAAATTTTAGAATTTAAAATTTCACACGCAAAATTATGAAATTTCATATGTTTAAGAGTTGATGTTTGTGTATATACGCAACCAACGTTAGAACTTTTCATATGTTTTTGTTTGTGCCACAACACACAACCCACTTCAACTACAATTAGAAAATTGTTTATGTTTGAAATTTTGATTGCCACGTTTTTAATAAATTTTCTGCCAGAAATGTTTAATAAGATTCAAATTATACACAAAATTAACTAATAAAAAAATTAATTTAAAATTTTGTATGCAAATTTAAATTTAACACAGGTGCCATTTCAAAGTTTAAAAGTACATGATTCGACTTTTTGTTCATGTATCTTGTAAAGAAGTGGTTTATTCCCCTTCTATAAATTGTTATTTTGCTTCTTAAAGGAAGGTCAACACGTTATTTTCTCTTTTCTTTTTGTTAATAAAATGATTTGTTTTTTTTTTTAATTAAATATTAAAAAAGAAAATTCAATTTTTTTCTATATGCTTAATTATTAATTTTTAAACCCCATTTTAATACTAAAAAATTAGTTTCAGAATTGAAGGAATATGAATAAAATCATAATTTCATAAAGAAAAAATCTAGATATAGTTTATAAATATAATAAATTAGGAATTGTATTTGTAATTAAAACACTACCACAACAAAATGAAGAATCTAATGTATTACTAGTGTTTCCTTTATAGTAAGTTTAACTAGCTTATTAAAGAACTTGCATATCTAGTGATTAACATCTAACATATTCTATATCTAAAAATTATTCTTCAATGGCAATAACGTTCACATGTTTTATATCAAATTTTTATGCGCTAAACCATTAATGGTAATTGAGTAATTATTTTTCTTATAGAAGAAAAATAATAATATATTATTGATTAAGGTTTTTGTTGACTTTTTTTTATTTTTATTTTTTTTTTATATTGCAACAAGGGTTAAGTTAAATATGCCTGACTATTTGCCCAACCACTTAGACATAAAATTTGTTGTCAAAATCCCAATCAAGCCCATCCTAGTTGTGTTTGTCAGTCATAGAAAGATATGATCAGTAGTCTAAGAATTCATCTCCAAACACCTCAACTTCAAACTTGAGAGTGAGGCTCACAATTCTTGTTTGTCTTGTGCATAGATGTTGTAACCCTATGCAAGCAAAATTCACATTTTATGAAAAACAAAAAATAATCGACCTATGAATATACTTGTTGAGTTAAACTACCCTTTCAGACCTAAAAACAAAACATTTCAAATTTTTGGTACTTTAATGACCTATTATGCCTTCCTGATAACCTTCGAAGTTATTATGGTAATGTGATTGTTTGGAATCCAGTCGTGGAAAAATCTATGCACCTTCCACCACCAAACATTACTTGCTATTCATGCTACTGCAATAACAATTGGTTTGGGTTTTGTTATGATTTGGTTGATAAGGACTATAAAGTTGTTAGTATTATATGCATGGAGAATGCTAACCATGTGGTTGAGATTTTAAAGGTAAGCACGCCCACATGGGATAACATAAGTGACATGGCATGTGTACACTTTAATTTCTTGACCAATGACCAAGTATATCTATGTGGGTCAATGCATTGGCTTCGAAAGGTTAAGGCTAGTCACAACAGTATTACAAGAAATACGATTTTTTATTTGATGTGCATGTGTAGAGCTTCCATGGGATGGAGTTACCTTAAACGTTGGCTACATATATATTCGCATGAAATGCATGTTGTAGCATACATGGGATTATTGCCTATTGTTTTGGATGAAGTTATGAAAGTTTCTATATGCAAAATGATAAAGTATGATAGTGTGAGTCATGGAACGAACAAATTTGTATTTATTGTTCCCTGACCAAGTCGTCGTGTTGCGGATTTAAGAGGAATGGTGAGATTTTAAGTATGAGGAGAAATGAGGATTTGTACAATTATAACTCCATAACATAAAGATTCAACTTTTTTTAGATTAACATGTATTCTCTATTTGCCAATTCTAGTTGCGACTCTATGTTACTCCTTATTTGGAAAATTTAGCTTTTATTGATAAGGGTCCTAAGTTTTCTGATATTGCTACTGCAGAAGAACACATTGTAGCAAATAAGTTATTCTATAGTAGCAATATCAGAAAACTCAAGACCCTTATCAATAAAAACTAAAGTTTTTAAATAAGAAGTTGCATAGAACGACAACCAGAATTGGCAAACTATCAATACATGTTGTGTGAACAAGGTGTATCGTTTTGCTATGGGCTTAAAATGGTAGAAATCTCCATTTATTCTCATACTTAAAATCTCACCATTCCCCTTAAATTCACAACACAGTCAGCCGATCAGGGAACAATAAGTACAAATTTGTTCGTTCATAATTCCACATTACCATACTCTGTCATTGTCCATATAGAAATTCCACAGCTTCATCCAAAACAATAGCCATTGATCCCATGTATACCGCAACTTGCATTTTATGTGGATATGTAACCAACATTATAGGTAACTCAATCTCATGGAAGCTCTCCTCATGCACATCAAATAATACAATCTTATTTCTTACCATATTGTTGTTATTAGCTTTAACCTTTCCAATCCAATGCAGTGACCCACTTAAATATACTTGGCCATTGGTCAAGAAATTAAAGTGCTCAAGTACCTTGTCGCTTATGTTCCCCTATGTGTATGTGCTTACCTTTAAAAATCTAAACCACATGCTTATCATTCTCCATGCATATAATACTAACCACTTTATAGTACTTCTCAATCGAATCATAACTAAACCCAAATCAATGACCATTGTAACAAGAATAGCAAGTAATGTTTGACCGTGGAATATACATAGATTTTCCCACGAGTGGATTCCAAACAATCACATTATCATAACAATTGCAAAGATTATCAAAATGGCATAATAGGCCATTACTAGTACCAACAATTTGAAAATTTTCTTTTTAGGTACGAAAAGGTTGTTTAACTTAGCAAGTATATCCATAGGGCGATTATTTTCTTCATAAAAATATGAGTTTTGCTGGCCTTGGTTTCAACATCAATGCACAAGAAGGCATGAATTATGATCCTCATCCTCAAGTTTGACATTGATCAAGTGTTTGGAGATGAATTCTTGACTTTTGATCACATCTTTTCATGACAGGCAAACATCTATGCAACTTAGGAAAGACTTGATTGGGAGTTTGACAAAGATTTTCATTCCAAAGTGGTTGGGAAAATAGTCGCACATATTTTGCTTAATCGTTGTTGCTTTAAAAAAAAAAGTCAAAAAGTCAACAAAAATTTCAATCAACAGCATACTATTCGTTTCTTCTAAAAGATAAATAATTAGAAAATTACCATTAATTGTTTATTGCATAAAATTTTGATGTATGCAAACATGTGAGCTTGTGAAAAGTGATTTCATGAGTTGTTGTTATCCAGGAATAGTTTCTAGTTATTGAATATGTTGTATGTTAATCACTAGACTAGATATGCAAGTTCTTACCAAGACTATATGGTCTAATGGTACCCGAGTTGGTCTTTCATTTGGAAAGTTGTGAGTTCGAGTCTCACTGGAGGCGTTATTGGTTCTTTGTGTTTCAGTAGGTTGAGATAGTATATGAACAGATACTATAGTGTAATAGAACCAATAACATACAAGTGAGTTAACCTATATAGGAGACACTAGTAATATTAGAATCTTTTTATTATTGTGATAATATTTTAATTACAAATACATTTCGTTAATTTATTATATTCATAAATTATATTTAGGTTTGTTATGAAATTATGATTTTATTCATATTCCTTATGAAACTAATGTTTTCTAGTACTAAAATGGGTTCTAAAATTAAACAAAACTAGTATTTTCACCTGTGCGTTGCACACAATGGATTTGTGTTATTAATGATATAATTACTATCCAAATTCATTTGTATAGAGGATATATTTTTTGTCTAGATATATAGCAATTATATCATTTTGAAAAAAAAAAAAAAGAATACATAATATCATCGATTGTATTTACACATTATTGAAAACCCTCTCTGTAGACAACATTGGTAGTCGCAACACAATCGTGTGCATTATTGTCTATAGCTAACACTTTCAGACCATCAGGATGGAAGACTCGGGAGAAAGCCACGTACAATTGTCCGTGATTAAAGACCGGTTTTTTTAGCAATAACCCAACATGAGTTAGTATTTGGCATTGGCTTTTGTTGATAGTCATGGCATATGCAAGCATCAACGGGAATTATTTACGCTGGAAGTTGAAGGGCAATCTCGTATCAGAAGGAGTGAGAGACATTCGGGGGATAAGAACTTTGGTTCCTAGATGTGTCCTATTAACTATTCTTGCTTCGACAATGTGATCAGCTAATCTTGTGATGATGAGCCGCATCCCGTTACAAAGACCTAGAGAGTGGTCTATGTTCCGCAATAACATAACAGGTTCACCGACCTTTAATGTCAATGAATTATTAGGAACACTCAGCAATCTCAAACTATTTAAGAATTCAGGAGTGTGTACTTCTGATAGATTTTCATCGTCTGATTTTTCCTTACACAAAGAGTCACAACTTAAATGCGTTCGACCTTCAGCAGTATTCATGTCGCGCATGTACTGATTAATTTGATCAACGACATCTAAAGTCGGTGAGAGGATCGCTAGGCCTTCTAGGTGCAACTCCTCAAGCATGCCATATCTCGCGCTTGGGAAGGTGTTTTCCAATATAGTTGTTATGGGATCGGGTCTACACTTCAACAGAAACTGTACTGGAATATTGATCTCAGACAAACCGTCGTTTACAACCCCTGTAATCCCATATTCGATGTCTGTAATCCATTTTGAAAACCAATCAACTATCTGTCTATCTTAATCTGAACCTAAGCTCCGTAATCTCAAGTTCTTCGTGAGCCTCAATACCCTGCATTTGTCCAGAGGTATGAAGAATTAATAGTTGCTCCGACAACTACTGGTCACGTTGCTTTCGGAATAACTGGAAGAATCTATCTAAAACCACCATGCCAAAACTACCGTCTTTCCACCAAATGTCTTTTCAGCACTACCATGTATGGAAAACCTCAATATATCCCTCATGGTTTTGTCCAAAGCCTCAAAATAGTGTTTGTGCATCATTGGTGCTTCGTCCCATATTATCAATTTGCTCCTTATTATAAGCTCAGCAAGGTCACTGCCTTGCGATATATTGCATGTGGAATCTTCATTCAATGAGAGTGGTATAGCAAATCTGGAATGCGTCATCCTGCCTCCCGGTAAGAGCAAAGATGTTATTCCACTTGAAGTAACGTTGAGAACAATATCTCTGCGGCTTCTTATCTTTGAGGATAATGTTCTCCACACGAACGTCTTGCATGTTCCTCCTTAACCATACACAAAGAACAATCCACCTCCATTTGAATCAATATCATTCATCACATAGTCATAAACATTCTTTTGCTCGTCCGTTAATTGTGTTACCAACGTTTCATGCTCTATCATCAACGATTCCTTGTCATACGCCAACTCTTCGGCTATCAACATGTTTTCCATCAAACCCATGTTGCTTTCGTCTGGAATTGACATTTTTGGAAAGTATCTAAGGCTCTTCCCCCACAAAGATAGCAAGTTATCCAACTCCACCAGAGTGAATTGTTTCTTATCCGAATCAGATAGCACCAACTCTTCATAGTCCAAAAAAGAAACAAAATAAAAATTAACAAATGTGTTTATAATAATAATAAGCAAATAACAAATTCGAATAAATAGATCGGAGGTTGATAATATATATTAGTTACCGTACACTAATCTATACTAATATGAATATTAATTAGTTACCTGCATGGGCAGCTTAACTGGTCACAGAGGTGAAACTTTGGAAGAATGACCAGGGATCGAGTCTCACCACAGCACCGGTCTAGCCTCTGTTGACAAAATTTTACATGAAAATTAACTAATATTTAATGAATTGGAAAAAGAATTAGTTAATTAATGATATGGAAAATTCCAATGAAATTCTAATATATATTAGTTAATTTCCATATAAAATTGTAGTCAATATATACCAATAATAATTTTGTAATACAAATGAGATTCTAATATATTACTTACCATACACTAATCTATACTAATATGAATATTAATTATTTGGTAAAAAATTAATAAAGCTTAATTGGCAACAAAATTTTATATGAAAATTAAATAATATCTAATGAATTGGAAAAAAATATTTCGTTGAATTTTCATTTTCTCATTTTAAGTCCATTTTGACTTTAATTTGTGGTATCAATTCATTAGATATTCATATCTCTACTATACTAATAAGAGCGCAAGAGAGTTAGGCCTATAATGGGTAGAAAAAATGGCGGTCAAATTTTTTAATCAAATGAATGGCTCAGATTGATCAGATTTTAATTTTTCCTTGAGATTTCCTAATTTATCCTTAATGAATATGATTATCCGTTAACTTTTCCGTTAAATATTATCTTTTTTTGTTAGTTTCTGTTAGTTCACCGTTAACTTACTCATTGATTTTAATAAGAAAGGTCTTAGGTTCAAACCTCATCCCAATCAAATTAAAGTTGGCATAATTAGTATTCTATTTTACTCTTATTAAATTAATTAATAATTTAATAGCTACACCAAAAAATAATACATATGCATTTCTTTAATTTAGAATTATGTGTGTACAATGTCTTTATTCAAAAAAAAAAAAAATTATTCATTATCAATAAATAAATTAAATAAGAGAAATAATTTCATTAGTTATATTGTCTTTATTTTTCTCCAATGTAAAAATTCTTTACATTCAAATTAATCAATTAATTATATTCACTACATTGTCTATTATCGTTTTTGTGCACTATTTTTTAATTAAATATCAAAATTATAATACAAAATAATACTATATATTTATTTATCAAGTATTTTATTAATACCATGAAAAAAGTGAAAATTAAAAAAACATAATTAATAAAGCCAGTCATATTAACTACTTGAGAGATTTGTTGACAAAGAGAGTATTCAAATCACACAACAAATTAAAGTGAGAACTACATCGCAATGTCCTTGTTTGATAATCAGCAGTTAGCGGATTTGACCAGCGAATTATATCAACGGTTGGTAAAAAGATATTTGAAAAAATTAGCCGTTTAGATTAACATGTAAAATGACCTAAAGGTATACATATACTTCATAATAATAATAATAATAATAATAATAATAATAATAATAATAATAATAATAATAATAATAATAATAATAATAATAATAATAATAATAATATTATTATTATTATTATTATTATTATTATTATTATTATTATTATTATTATTATTATTATTATTATTATTATTATTATTATTATTATTATTATTATTATTATTATTATTATTATTATTATTATATCCTTAGGTCATTAGTATAGTAGATATATATGACCTAAGGATATAATAATAATAATAATAATAATAATAATAATAATAATAATAATAATAATAATAATAATAATAATAATAATAATAATAATAATAATAATAATAATAATAATAATAATAATAATAATTGTTATAAAAAAAATTAAAAAAAATTAAAAAAATATAATTAAGCGAATCATATTAACTACTTGGGGGATTTATTGACAAAAAGAGTATTCAAATCACACAACAAATTGAAGTGGGAAACTACATCGCAATGTCCTTGTTTGACAATCAGCAGTTAGTGGATTATATTAGCTGATTTCGCCAGTGAATTATATCAACGGTTGGTAAAAATATATTTGAAAATGTGAGCATATAGCCATCAACGTACAATCCAACTATCAGCTTAGGCTTTTAGTTGAGATGGAACACATGCTTCAATTTGGTATCAGAGCCAGACCAAAGGTCATGGGTTCGAATCTCAACGCTACTCGTAGGCGACAATGGTTTACCGGTCCACGTGTTGGTTGGAACAACTATCAGTTTAGGCTTTTAGTTGAGATGGAACACATGCTTCAATTGAAAAAATTAACTGTCTAGATGAACATGTAAAATGACCAAAGGTATACACATATTTAATATATAATAATTGTTTTAAAAAATAAAAAATATATAATTAAACCAATCATATTAACTACTTGGGGTAAAGGTCAAATCTTTGATGATTCCCTCATCAATGATTGAGATTGAGTTGCGAAAACTTCTAGATAAGTATCCTACGTCTGAACCGAATTCTTTCTGGTTAAAAAATCTCTTTCTATTTCCCATCAATCGAATCGCTTTTTCTATAAATACGAGACATCTAAGTCATACAAGTAAAGAGATCTATTCAATGATAAGAAAAAGAAAAAACGTGAACGGGGATTGGGTTGATGATAAAATAGAATCCTGGTTTGCGAATAGTGATTCGATTTAGGAGGAAGAAAGAAAATTCTTGGTTCGAATCATATTAACTACTTGGGGGATTTATTGACAAAAAGAGTATTCAAATCACACAACAAATTGAAGTGGAAAACTACATCGCAATGTCCTTGTTTGACAATCAGCAGTTAGTGGATTATATTAGCTGATTTGACCAGCGAATTATATCAACGGTTGGTAAAAAGATATTTGAAAAAATTAACTGTCTAGATGAACATGTAAAATGACC